CAGTTGAATTTGATTTGGGTATTATGTTCGGAAATCCATCCAATACCAATTTTTGGATGTGGTGTTTGTGCATCAATGATTGAAGCATCTGTGTAGAAATGTGTATTATTTGGGAGGTTTTTGGCTAATAAAAATAGGTTAGTAAGTTGGTTTTGGTATTGAAAGGAGGATATATTTTTTTGGATTATTTGAATTTCAGTATCAGGAATGTAAATCGTTGGTAATTGGGGTAATATTGGAGTTGAAGTTACATGTTGTTGAATATTAGTAAGTGCATGAATTTCATGATTGTCAATGTAGAGTGAATAGTTGTTATTCTTTTTTAATGATTTAACATGAGAAATGTTAATGTAGGTTTGAAAAATTAGTGTAGATATGTTAGTAGGGATTAGAGATATTAATCCCGAAGATATGTTATGAAAGGAGAAGAAGTTAAGTGAATTTTTTGTGAAGAGAATTCTTCACAAAAAATTCACTGCTCTAAAATCTTTAATCACTATCTTTAAAGATTGAGCTAGATTTTGTTGTAATATTTGACCTGCTTGTTAAAAAACTCGAACATATGGGTTAATACTATAAACTATATTTTGAAGTTCAAAAAGAATACCTGGATTTAACGAAGGCATAAAATTATGTCTATTTCATACTTCATTATCTGTGTCATAAATATATATCTGCGCAAAAAGAGGTAAAGATGTGAGAAACTGAGGAAGAAGCAAGCCAATTCGGTAATAAATTTCACCATGTATATGGTATGTATAGGTGTCTTGTGTTCCAGTAACATTTTCATCTATTTTTGCACCTACAGATGTAAAAGCTAAAGCAGAATTATAAGCTCTTATATTTTGCTTAAATTCTTGTGAACATGGATCATTATTCGTAAGAAGTTCTTTTAATAATGCTGGAGGTTCTTGGAGCGGTGGAAGCAGAACTTTTCCATGTGTGCAGCAGATACTAAAAATAGGCGTACACTTTGATGAAGCTGCACATCTTTCATCAATCCATTTCAAAGCACCGCAATAAGAACATGGATAATTCATTTTTCCTAAAGTGTGTCATTGTAACTCATATGACATGAAAGGATAAACGCACATCTTTGGAACAGAGCTATTTCTATCAACTAAAGCAAGCATAGAGATATTAATATCTGAAGGTTCTCTACTAAATTGAGTCGGAAGAGAATCACTATTAATCAAGAAAGTAGCAGGCGAATTTAGCATTTCATGGTGACTAAATTGTTGAGTCAGAAGAGAATCACTATTCAGAAAGAAAGTAGCAAACAAATTCAGCATGTCATAGTTGTAAAGTTCATGTGCTCATTGTTAGTTAGTTTGTGTTATATGTGCAGCCTTTCGTGTACGTTCTTGTGATTCTCTAAATTGCCTTTTTCTATTTTCTTTCTGAGTTGGTGTCATGTTGGCATTGCAATGCTCAGCAGCTTCTCTTTTCATCTTTAGTCATCGTTCTCTCGAAGTTTCAGTATTGCCGGTGTCCATAACCTATAATCTATAATAATAAAAAAAAAAGCTAAAGTCTAGTTTAAAAATTAAGTAAAACTCTAAAACTAATGAATAATAAAGTAAATAGTTGTATTATGATAAAACTGTTACTCAGAAGTAGCATAAAAGTTGGTCTCCAAAGGAGTTTGCTTAAGTTGTTCACTATAAATAAAGGGCAAAGAAAAGATTAACTTAACAGGCTATTAAATCTTTATACAATAAAAAATAATATAATGTTCAGCATTTTTCCTATTGGATAGTATTATTTAGATAATAGATATATAGATGTGAAAGTAGTGGTAAAAGTAGAGTCTAGGAATAAATACATATAGATTTTAGACATTCGATGTTATGAAAAGAATACGATCTGCTAGTCAGTTGTGATGCGTGAGTGACCAATAACAATATGTGATACATGAAACAGTTACACAAATATGCAATGGTCATTGACAATGCATAATCACAGAGATTTTAAATTATTAGATATAAATAGTATTATGATAACAGTATTCTTTTAATTAGTTGGGATAGGATATTTGTAACTATGATCATATCAGTATAACTAGCAATTATAGGATATCTGTGCAATGTTAAAGTTATACAAAGTTATACAAAGAAATACAAACTGGTATTATATAGTGCAAATCTAAAATAAGTTCTTATGCTATATAAATTTATAAAACTAAGAAGCAAAGTCTACTTGGAAAGACCTAAGCAAAAAAATTATGTAGATCTTAAATGGTATTACTATAAAGACTAGATCTAGAAAATAAATATTAATGTAAAAGAAATTGGGTAGGCAAGAACTTCAGATAAGAGGTACCACCAATCAGATCACTAAAAGTCTTAAACTAAAAAAAAGATTCTTAGGAGGCTGACTCTTGAGATATTAAAAACAAGTTACAGTTCTTCTGAGCTATTTGAATTGAAAGTCTAAGAACTAAAACAGAGTATAGCTAAGTACTAAAGATATATTATAAAGTTGGTACTAAGGTCTGAATAAACTTTGCAAGAGTGAACTCAGTTAACAAAAATTAAATATAGTTAGTTAGTTAGCAAAAAGGTTTTTTGAAGCTTTATAGTTAGGTAATATATTTTTAAATATGTAATAGTTTAACAAATATATAGACAGAAAAGTTAGAATTAGGTTAAATGATACTTTAGTATACAGAAACTTGTATATTACTGTTAGATGTAATATAAGATAACTTTGCACAAGTTATGTAATTATAATTAAAATCACAATAAAGACAGTAGTTGCTAATAACTAATGACCTAAGCAAAATTAAAAAAAAAATTAATAAATAGAATAAAAAAAGAAACAAAAAAAAAAACAAGTAAAAAAAAATAACAAATTAGTAAAGAATAGAAAAAAGAAAAGAGAAGACAAAAGAAAAAAGAAAATAAATCAAAAAAAACTAAAAGGATAATATTAAAATTTGCAGTAAAAAAAAAAAAGTTTTTTATGATAAAATTTAAGTAGTTAGATAAGCTGCTTACTTTTGCTTAAAATAATATAATATAACAAATTGCACTTAGGTATCATTAAGGTAATCAGATAATGTTAGACTTAGTTATTAGAAATATTTATATAATTGCAAATATAATTTCAAAATCTTAATAAAATACTAATATGATTACTTAAGAAAAAAAAAAGAATCTATATATTTTAATAATAATTTTATATAATTATTTTATAAATACTAAAAGATTTTAATTAGCTAATTTGAAAATATTTTAATAATATAAATTAGATTATATTACAAAAAAATTTTAATAAATAATATTATATATATATATTTTTTGATATTAAGATGAGACCTTGCTTATATTTTTATTAATAATTTTAACTGTATATTTTAATACAAAAGTACTAAAACAAACTAAAATTGTATATAATAAAATAAAAATTACAGAGTGTAACAACTTAGTAAAGTGGTCATTGTCAACTCTTTAAGTGATAGGTTGGGTGTTTAAATTTCATCAATAGTAAAAATTGGATAATCACCTATGTAATATTCATATTATAGCACTGTTACTAATAATTGGGTTAGAATACTTGTAATAATAATTACATTAGCATGACTAGTAGGTCATAAAATATTTATGTAACAGTCATATGACATTGTTCTTTAGAACAAGGTCTGTAGTTATATGAAAAAATACAAACTAGCAATTAGATGATGCAAACATTAAACAAGTCCTTGTAGTCATATAAATCTATTGAAATTAGATAACAAAAAGTCCATTTAGAAAGACCTAAGTAAAGAGGTAGTTGGATCTTCAATGGCTTTACTGTAAAGACTAGTTTGAAGAAATGAATACCAAGCTTATAGTACCTGATTGTAGTTCTAGATAAGCAAGAACCTCTGAGTTGGAAGTCTTAGAGATATCACCAACTAGGCTGCTAGAACAATTAGAAGAAAAGGATATTAGGCTAACTTGATATACTACATAGACTGGTCATAGTTCTATATAAGCTACCTGAATTGAAAGTTTGATAAAAAGGCAAGTGAAAAGATAGAGGTATACTAAAGTACTAGGGTTATACTATAAAATAGATGCTGAGGTCTAAATGAACTTTACAAGAGCATAGCAGTTTAATAGTTAAGCCTTAATCACAAATGTTAGTTCTATTATAGCAATATCTAGATCAGCTGTAAAAATAAGTACAGAAGGCTCTAAGAAGTTTATTTTAAAGATAAAATAGTTCTAAGGTTAAGAGGATAATCTGAACATCAAGTATGACCTAATGAAGTTAACAGGTTTGCAGATTCAAAGGCTTTAAAATAGAATATTCAAGCAAAAGTATTAAATATAGCAATTGGTAAGAAACCTTTAGGCAGACTCTTTAAATAGGTAATATAGAAAAGTTATATGTGTAACCAATTGTACACTCTTTCTGTAATAGTTTACTGAACTATATTTATCATTGTTAAATAAAATCAAAAAATTCAAGAGGTCATCTTAACATCAAAAAAAAAAATAAAAAATAAAAAATATATACAAGAATAAGAGCTCAAACTAGTTTATCTGTGATCTAAACTACAGACAATATTATAATTAAACTGCAAATATAATATTTAATATAAAATTTATTTTATTTTATTTTATTTTATTTTTTTTTTGAAATGCCAAAGTAGTAACTTTATTAAATAATAGAGAAATTATATTAAAGATTTCTAAACTACATTTGTGCTACTTATTTTAAGACATCTAATGTAACATTACACCTTCATTTTTATATAACACTATTATTAATTATTTCAAATTAATTTTAAATATAGAAAGGTTGGAAAAAAACCTAAAGTAATAGTCTTGGTATTTAGTAAATACAGTTAGTAAGTGAATAGCCTAAAAATAGCCAGTTTTTAATAGATATAGTAGGATCAATAGTAGATGTATTTGAGATATTAGATGTTGATTGAGAAATAAGAATTAGAAAGTAGATTTTTGAATGTTTAAATTTGTTAGTTATATTGCAAGCTTTTTCCTATTGTTGTTGAAGAATGTTACATGATAGCTATATTTGTTAATAAAACCAATTAAGAGAAGTATTTAATAAGGTTGTAAAGAAGGATAATGTTGTTTTATGAAGAAGTATTTTAATATTATCATATAAAGATATAGGGTAAAGGTCTTGAATAAGATTCAAAAAATTAAAATATGGTGATGTATTAAGATAACAGAATAATGTAGTATGAATAGTATTTGTAATTTCAGTAGAGATATTTAATTGTTGAGTAATATTTTTAGTTAAGCTATGAAGAATTTGCTGAAAGTTAAATTTTTGTTTAGAGCAAGTTAATAGATAAGGTATATCTTCAATTAATTGACAATAAACACAATTTGGAGTAGTGTATAATAAGAGATAGTGTATATTAAGATTTTGCATAGTTGGTAAGTTGTTATTGATAATTTTTAGTCAAAATGAATAGAATTTTTGATCATTATTAAGTGAATTAATAATATTAAGATTAGTAGACCATTTAATAGAAAGTGAATTTTGAAAGTATTTAAGTTGTGATCAAGTAAGAAAAAATTGAATAGTTATTATATTTTGGAGAAAGGAGTGAGTTTTAGTAAGAATTATATAATTATATCATGTAAAGTAAGAAGGAAGTATTGTTTTAAAGTTAAATGTAATTTGGTATTTATTAATATCTTGTTTGGCTAGGAGATCAGCTTGATTGTGAAAAGAGTTATTAGAATAAGATTTAATTTTATGAAAAGAGATATTAAGAGACTTTGTTTTAATAAAATAATAAATAATGAATAAAATATCTTAGTTTTTTATATAAAAGAATCTATATAATAATAAAAATAGTTGAATATTTTTAAATACAGAAAGATTGTCTAAATGTATATTATTTTGTGAATTTATTGGCAAGATAAGAAGAAGATATATTATTGTTTCAATTTCTGCTTGGGTAGAATCAGAATATAAAAAAATAGAACAATTAAATTTAATTTGGATATTATGTTTAGAAATTCATCTAATTCCAATTTTAGAATGTAATGTTTGAGTATTAATAATTGAGCTATTTATATAGAAATGAGTATTGTTTGGGAGATTTTTTGCTAATAAAAATAATTTAATAAGTTGATTTTGTTAAAGGATAATATGTATTTTTGTATTATTTGTATTTCTATTTTAGGAATATATATAATTGGGATTTGAGTTAGTATAAATAATAGAGAAGTTTGTTGTAATATATTGATAAGTGCATAAATTTCATAATTATCAATATTAAGAGAATAGATATTATTTTTTTTTGATAATTTAATATTTAAAATATTAATAAAAGTTTAAAGTATTAATATAGATAGGTTAGCAGAAGTCAATGATATTAAGCCATAAGCAGTGTTGTTGATTGAAAAAAAATTAGATAAATTCTTTATAAAAATAATTTGGAAATTATTAAGAAGAATTGATTATTGATTTAATAATA